TAAAAAATAAAAAATAAAATTCGATCATGGATTACAAGAAAAAAAACAAACATTTCGATCATGGATTACAAAAATTCGATCATGGATTACAAAAAATTCTATCATGGGTTACAAAAAAAAAAAAGAACAAAAAATTCGATCATGGATTATAAAAAAAAAAAAAACAATTCGATCATGGATTACAAAAAAATCGATCGAGTATTACAAAACAATCGATCATGGATTACAAAAAATAAAAAATAAAAAAAAAATTCTGTTCTTCACAGAGCCATTTTACATAAGCGATTTTAACTCAAAAATCCACCTCTTAAGTGAATAAATTACATCCAATTGAGTATATTTTCTGATAAACAACAATATAAGGAATCAAAACCCTAAATTTTTAACACATTATTTCTAATATATCATGAAAACAAAATCAGAAGGTGGAAAAAAAAAAAAATAGCGGAATTTTGGTTCCACAGACATCTCAGTGTTCATCTCAGATTTCATGCTCTAATTGACCAGATTACGTAAAATTGAAAATTTTAAATCATACTAGACACGATAAAGATTAAAAACCGTAATTATTGAACTCATTATGTTCAAAATATGCCGTGAAATAAATCAAATGGCAAAAAAAAAAAAAACCCAAACTTCTTACCTGATTTTGTGAACCGAAGCCTTCAATCTCCAAAAAACTCTGTTTTTCTCAACGATTATCACAAATTAGTAACAAAAGGTTTTGATTCACAGCTTTACGATCAAAATGCCTACAAATTTTGAAAGATTCATGCCCTATTTGGCATGAAACTTTCAGAAAAGGCGGAAACCCTAAAAAAGCAAGTTTCATGATCCAAAAACACCAAATTTTTCAACCATTTAATCCTTGAAAAAGCTGAATAAAGCTGTTTACAGCCTGCAAATTAGATCACATGCAAAAAAAAACAAGAAAAATGATAAAAAAATGACAAATTTCAAAGAATCTCGTGAAGAACACTGTGCAACCCGTGTTCTTCACGGACTCACCGATTCCGCACAGTGACTCGACGAGTCACTGTGCAGAATCGTCCGGTTCTCTCTAGAACCGGACGATTTCCGATTTTTTAGCCGATACGATCCGCTTTTTGCCATTTTTGAGTCGAACCGGGCGAGTCCGGTTCGACTCGACGTTTTCTAAAACACTGGTTTCAACAGTGAAATGGACCAATCCGTCCTTTTGCTTATTATTTTTTAGTATCACAAAAAAACTAGCAAGTGCAAACAAGAAAAAATACATCAAGTAATGTATCAATGAATAGAATAACTTAGTACATTAGGGGTGTGAAGAGTCTCATCATTATCTGAAGAGACTCAGTGTCCATTTATTGATATGAATATACTGATTGATTTTTTATAGATAAATTACAGATGACACTAAGAGAAACTAAATCATAGACACCTAAATTATACCCTGACTTACCATAAAATACATGACACAATATCCTACATTTCTCATATTTACTGATTACAATATCCACCTTCTATATTAACCGGATATACAATATATATTTTCCTTTCACAAGGGGTTTTAACAAAAAAAAAAAAGGGTTAAAATAATGTTCAGGCTGATGGAAAAAGTGAGCCGCACCTCAAATCTAAATAAAATTTTGTAGCTCCAGTGTTGGAAAACCCTCAAATTAATTATTTCGATCGTGACTATTATGGGAATTCTAAATAAATTTTTGTAGCTCCAGTGTTGGAAAACCCTCAAATCAATTATTTCGATTGTAACTATTATGAGAAAGGGATTGGGGTCGTGGAGGTAGCACCCTATCCAACAATCACCGTGTTGTGGTTTTCATTCTCACCGACACCGCCCCACTAACTCCTAAACTATTTGAAAAATATTTGACAAACGGGTAGGGGTCTGTCTTTCCCACTGAATTTTCCAAAAAAAAAAACTTTTGACTACTATGGATGTGGATATAAGAAAAAATAAGAACAACATATCTTATAACGTATTATTTAAATTATCTATTTTTTAGTGTCCATAGATCCACAAGGCCTATACTATTTTTGAAGTATCAAATTTCGCAATAAGAGGTGCAAATAGATTCTTGAGCCTTCTTAGGGTGGTTCGCATGAACTGCATTTTTCTAGTGAGGTTTTGAATTGGGACTACCCTTTTCTTTATGGCCTAGGCCTTACAGAAACTACATCCTAAAAAAGAATTCTCAAAATGAAGTTACATACTAGTATTTTTTTTTTTTTTGTTCTAATTTGCTGAAAAGTACATTTCCAGTACGATGACAAAAGAGATTTTGCAAATGTGTTTCAATATTGCCAGTCAAACATGCATTAGATGGCTCGGCAAGAATTTTTAGCCTGGGTTAAATGGTGTAAAACTATTCTCATTCCTAACCATTGCTCACCGCATGAGAAAATTTTCACGTGAAAATTTTTTATTGACGTGAACCAAACGTCCCCTTAGTTCTCAGCAAAGATAAAATTGTATTATGGTTTAAAACTTTGCATCATTGTATTATGGCTTAAAACTTTGCATCATGTAACCTTCAAAGAGGCAACTGTTCGGACTTACACGAACCAAGTAGTTGGCATAAGACTCAGATGATGATGATACACTTTAAGTATCAAACTCTTGGTGTTTCTTGTCAAAAATCCAATACCTAAAAAATTAAATAAAAAATTTTTTTTTTTTAATTATTTATTTATCTTTATCTTTTGAGACCTTTCCATGCCCTAACCAAGTTGAGGTAGACCAACAAAAAGTACTTCTTGGTACCTTTATTTTATTTCTTAGCTATGCGGCCTCTTGGCTTAATGGTTAGGATGCCATGGCCGGAACATAACTTCCAATCCTTAATCGCAAGTAAAAAAATGGAGCAGGAACTGTGTAGTATACATGTCGTGAGTATAGATTAAGGTAACACAGATGGGCTTGTAGATGGTAATAAGGTATTCTTTCTTGAGAGAAAATTGGAATACTGACTCATCTTCAACATCCGTTGATGACAACGGATGGTGGATAGCTTGTCTGTATACCTTATACGGTGCATGTTATTTGTATATTATATTTTTTGTGCTGAAAGTAAGCATTTTCAAAGCCAATATATGTTATGGTTCTATAAGAGTATATTATCTATTTACTCCCTTATTTAAAACTCGACATAGGATTAACTTTAGGATCTCAAACTTTGGGGATGTACCTTCTTCAATGCAACGCCAATATAAAAGATTCCAAATTGCACTATATGTGGGCTTGAATAAAATTGATGTCTCAAGATTGAACAGAGGCTATCTAATATTTGGGTGGTGAAATATAACGGTTGCAAAACTCAAAATTGAAAATTTTTATTTTGAAAATAATTATCTAGTAATTTTTAATAATTTTTAGGTAGTCCCCGAAATTTCTAATTAAAACGATTCTACTAATAGAAGGAGTAGACACACACTATGGTCTCCTAGAAGCAGAGTAGACACTCCCTGAAATTATTATACATTTATCTTCTCCCTTTCCAGAGTTATTCATTTATTTATTTATTTGTTTTTTTATAACTTCCCACCGTCCATTCCCACCGTTAACATAGCAAAAAAAGGGAAAAAAAATTGCTCCTGTACTTTGAAACCTACGCATTTCTAATAGGAAAACCAATGGATGGTTTATGTCTAACCAGTGATTTCAAAGACCTTATCAGACCCTGAACAGCCATGGGACTGATTCCAGTTGAGCTGGTTTGACTTGAGTGAAACTGAATCAGTATATAAATAGAAAAGAAAATAAACAAAAAGTTTGGGGACTAGAGGGAACTGGTGATTTCAAGGGTCCGGATTCCCCACCCACAATTTTCGAACCGGAGATTTTTTTAACATTGGTGCTAATATCCAGATCTAATGGTTGTCATCCCCAGGGAATGATAATTTTGACCCTCTCCGCTGTCCTACCGGGGCTCCACCCCCCACCTTGCCCGATGGGTGGCGCTCAACAGCAGGAAACTTGCCCGGAGGCCTCGACAAAGCAACTATGGATCCTATATCTTTCCCTCCTCTTAACCTCTCTGGGCTCGGGAGGCATCAGACCATGCGTCGTGCCCTTTGGAGCAAATCAATTTGATGTAGCAGTCGGCCATAAAGCTGCTCGAAATCGCAGCTTCTTCAATTGGTTCTACTTTTGCATGGGTTGTGCTAGTTTAGCAGCATTAACAATAGCGGTTTACATTCAGGAGAATGTGGGGTGGGGATGGGGATTTGGGGTGCCCACTATTGCCATGGCTATCTCAGTGGTGGTTTTCGTTCTAGGGTATCGACTTTACAGGCATTTTGAGCCGGCAGGAAGTCCACTGACCAGGTTGGCCCAGGTGATCGTCGCAGCCCAAAGGAAGAGAAAGATGGATAGGCCGGAGGATGCTGCCGATCTTTACGAGAACAAAGAGCTTGATGCTTCCATTTCCACCACTGGGAAGCTCCTCCATACCAACCACCTCAAGTAAGATCGTCTACTGAGTTTGCACTTTCTATCCCTCCTCCCCCACGTAATTAATGCTTCTCATACCATACTTTGCATCCATTACCCACATAAAAATAGTTCGAATTTTTTTTTTTGGAATAAAGTATTCCTATTTTAACCCACGTTTCTTTTTTTTTTCTTATCATGCTTCACTTTTCTCTCTAAACCGGTCCAGCGCAAATTTCAATATAAGTCGGTCTTAGCACAAATTTCAATATAACTTGGTCCGGCACAAAAAGTGTTCCGATGCATTTTTGTGCCGCATTGGTACGATTTAATATTAAAAGCCATCAAGTATCAACTAGTCCAATACTTTTTTGTCCCAAACGAGCACATTTTGAAAATCGGAAGCCGATCGGCAACATGTTGGCTATCATATTTCGGGAGACAAATATGGGTTAAAATAGGAGATATTTTGCTCTAAAAAAACCAATGTTTTTTTACTTAAAAGATAAGTGCAAGAATAAATAGCGTTCGAATGAATAGCATAATTTAAAAAAAATATTGGAAGTGGGCATGTCTAAAAAGTACAACCCAAGGGTGTTGTTTTAACTTTGGGTATGGTTTCTGTAAGGCTGCAACCTCAAACAATCCAATTAAGGTGCACCTCCAAATTTTATTATAACTGTTTTCAAATCTAATTATAAATTTTAAACTCCAAAAATAGTTAAAATCAAGTAAATCTATGAACATATGAAAATATTGAAAATGAACGGTTTAGATAATGTGTTGCAAGATGCACTATTTTTGGAGTTTATTTTTTTTATTTTTTTTTTCATATTCATATATCTTAATGTCGAGATGATCAATTAGAGGGTTTCCCATCATTAAAGAACTTTTTTTTATTTATTTTTGAGGTGAATATTTGATTCTAAATTTTAAGGTTGCAACCTTAAATAAACTTTTTCCTTTTAACTTTTCCTCCTTATTCTTGTGTGAGTTCCACTTTGGTTAATTTTTTTAAAAAGGGAGTTGAATTTTAAATAAGATGTAGGTTCTCATAAACCCCTAGCTTGTGGAACCAAGAATCCCAAACACTGGGATCCCACCAAAGCTTGTGTACATGATTGGCTAAATGGTAAGTAGATGAATACAACTATAAATTGAGTACGGAAAATAAAGCAAACACAAAAAGTACACAACAACAACATAATATTTACGTGGTTCACCCCCATAGGGCTGCATCTACGGCCTTAGCAAGTAGAAATCCACTATCACAATGAAGATTACAGTTTTGGGCTACAATAGATAATCCACTATCTCTAAACGTCGGTAAAAGATCATCACTGATCTTCCCTTCTAAACAAACCCGCTCTCTCGACCGAGCAACACCGTCGATCAACATCCTCTTTTCCACTGCAATATCGCTATCGGAAAGATAATATTGAGAACAACCGAGAGACTATCTATAAGTGAAAGTTAACCAATCCAAAACTCATGGGAATACCGCCTCTCTCAAATGCCTTGTTTCTCTCTTGGAGACTCATCTCCATATTGAAGATCCATTCTCATAACCCTCAAAGGGGTGACCCTCAAAAGGATGGGTATTATGTCACCCCTCACTTTCTTATAAAAATATCACTTTCTTGCTGAAGTTCATTTTATATTTCCCATAATACCCTTAATCTTTAGAAGAAAATATGTGTATAATGATTTGGCTATCACCAAACCCAACAATCTCCACCTTGATAGTAAAATCACCACCATGCCTTGGCAACCTTCATTGAATAGATTTTTTGATTTATTTTCACTTGCCTCTATTGTGGAATTTTTCACAAACACTTTGCCTCCATATTTTTTCCACTTGAAACCATGTATCCATCAAACTCCACTATTCATCATTTTCTTAATGAAAACTTTAGCCATGTACACACCTTATGCTCTAATACCAATTGTAGGGTTCTCGAAAACCCCTAGCTTGTGGAATTGGGAATCCCAAACACCAAGATCCTACCTAAGATCGTACACATGATTGGCTAAGTGCGAAGTAGATAAATACAACTATAAATAGAGTGCGAGAGATAAAACAAGCACAAAAAGCACGCCACAACAACAATATTTACGTGGTTCACCCCATAGGGCTACATCCACGGCCTCGGCACGTAAAAATCCACTATCACAATTAAAATTACAGTTTTGAGTTACAAGAGATAATACATATCTAAACATCGGTAAAAGACTATTGCCGATCTTTCGTTCTAAACTCGCTATCTCAACCAAGCAACACCATTGATTAACATCTTTTTTCTCACTGCAATACGGCTACCGGAAAAATAACTTCAAGTGCAACCGAGAGACTCTCTCTAGAAGTGAAAGTTTAGAGAGAAAGTTAACTAACAAAAAACTCATGAGAATACCGCCTCTCTCTCGAAGGCCATGTCTATTTCTCTTGAAGGCCTATCTCCATATTGGAGATCCATTCTCATAACCCGCAAACGGGTAACCCTAAAAAAGGCTAGGTATTATATCCTCATTCACTCTCTTATAAAGATATCACTTTTTTGTTTCTCAAAAAAGTTTATTTTTTATTTTCCATAATACCTTTAATCTTTAGAAGAAAATATAGGTATAGTGAATTGTCTATCACCCAACCCAATAGAAAAGTGCACAAATCGGCCATCCACCATCCGTGCCTTCACTGGTTAGTGGAGATCAGTTGTTGCTCCCCGATTGGACTTAACAAAGGGAGAACGATCGTAATCATCGCCCTTGGATAAGATTGGATGGTGGATGCCTGTTTGCGCATCTCAAACAAATTTTGGATAACAAGTTGGACAGATGGTGAGACCCTTAGAGAAAATTACATGACCCAAGTATTAGGTCTCGCTCTCCATTGGTTACTGTTAATCTATTGTTTCGAAGCTGATAGCACTTATGATAAATAGATTTTGGTAATCATTTGGATCATATTATACTTGTGTTTTACAGGTAGACCAAAAGCCAAAGGTTTTAAAAATGGAAGTGAACCATATTGTCAAGCTAATAATATGGTCATAGGCTCATTGATGTTCAATCAAAGAGTTCGAGACAGCGTAGGAAAAATCGGGCCGTTCAAATTCTAACCGCCAGTTGAACCCCGTTTAACTAGTGAACAGGTTGGGTATTTTAAACAATTCAAAAACATTTATATAAAATCTCAAAAAATAAAGAATTTTGCTTTTTTTTAATGTTTTTCATCATGTTTGAAAAAGATTGAAAATTGTTTTGGCCATTAATACTTATTTTTATATTTTTCTATTTTTTAAAAGATACCCTTGGGCACAAGTCAATTCTTTAAAATCCATTTTTTTCCTTAATTTTTATCATTTTGATGCGCTTTGTTTAATAATGCTTTGAATATACTTTTAATATTTCGTTAAACAAAATTTGGAATTGTTTTTATTTTTTTACAGTGTTTTGACCACCTAGGACTTGTCCAGTTACGCCGGTTGAACCGCTTCCGACCCTATATCTGGTTAACCGTTCCCGTACACCGGTTTGAGGATGATTGATGGAAGCTAAAGTGTTACTTTACAACCTCGTCCAAAAAATACTTTGGGCATGGGAAAACTCTATAATAGCTCTAAAATCAATTTTTTACCTTTGAAGTTTATGGCTAAAAAAATAGTAACGATCTTACGGGTTATTGAACACTTGAAAATAAATGGTCTAGATAACATATTATACTATACAATATTTTTAAGGCTTAAAATCTTAATCTTTTTTCACAACCATACTAATCAAGGCCGCGATGATCGATTTGTTAGACTTTCCAACTCCAAAATTGCAAATTTCTATGAGTTTCGAGTTAAGGGTGTACTTTATATAAGGTTGTAGCCTTTGCAAAACCTTTTCCATATTGTACACTTACTCCTACAAACCAAATAATTGCTTAGGGGCACTCCTTTGATCGCGAAGCTTTGATAGTCTTACCCCAAAGATTAATAATAATTAAAAAAAAAAGAGAAAAAATGAATTCATGCCACAAAAATCTTCTAAATGAGTGTCCACTCTAATGGTGACAAAAAATCGTCCATTTTTCTCATAGTCAGATCTAGGTCTTAAGAGCTCTAAATTATGATTATTATTATTTTTTTAAAAATCTGGTGAATTAGAGATATTTATAAACTCTTAGGAATTCAGATAAACAAGAAGTTTGCTTAAACTTTTTTTTTTTTTGGGTAATTCAATAGGGAGGACAGGTCCTCGCCAATTTTTTCAAATAGTTTAGGACTTTTTTTTTTTTTTGAAAGTTTTAGTACCACTTTTTCAAATAGTTTAGGAATTAATTTTTTTGGGAAAATCACGTATATATCCGTTATTCTCAAAATACCAAATAGTTTCCGTTATTACTGAAATGTCCGTTTTTTCACTTCTTACCGAAATTTTTTAAAAATGACTTTTTTGACCTTTCTTTGGTTTTTGAATAACCGAAAATAAGCACAAGCTTGGAATTTGCATTTTTATTTTTGGTTGTTGCAAAACCGAAAATGTATTATTTTCGATTGTTCAACAACCGAAATAAGGACTGCATATTCTAGAATATGCAGTCCAATTTCCGATTGTCCAACATCCGAAAATGTCTTGTTTTCGGTTGTTGAACAACCGAAAATATGACTGTGTATTCTGGAAGCTTGCTTGTTCAACAGTAAAAAATGTTATATTTTTTATTGTTGAGCAATCGAAAATGTCCTACTTTTGATTGTTGAACAACTGAAAATAGAACTACGTATTCTATAAGCTTAAACGAGCCTTGCTATTTTTGGTTGTTCAAGAACCGAAATTAGCTTATTTTCGGTTTTTGAACAACCGAAAATCCAACCATTTCGGTTGTTCAAAAACCGAAAAAGGGTAAAAAAAATATTTTTTAATAATTTCGTTATGAAGTGAAAAAATAGATATTCTAATAATACTATAAACTCTTTAGTATTTTAATAATAACGAAAACTATAACGGATATATACGTAATTTTCCCTAGCTTTTTTCGAAAGTGTTAGCTGGTGGTGTCAGTGAGAATGAAAATTACAATATGATGCCACCACGACCCCAACCATTTTCCACTTAATTATACTTTGCTTATTTGCATTTCCATTAACACCGAATGCAACACGCCCATCCCAAATTTGATGCCGATCCTGCAGGTTCTTTGACAAGGCTGCCGTGATCACCGAGAGTGACAAGCCGGTATCTGACCCACCAAATCTCTGGCGTCTCTGCACAGTCCACCGGGTCGAGGAGCTCAAGTCCGTGATCCGAATTCTCCCAATCTGGGCTGCCGGAATCCTACTAACAACCGCATCTTCCCACCAGAACTCCTTTTCTATACAGCAAGCACGATCCATGGACCGCCGCTTGTCGCCCTCCTCCTTTAAAATCCCCCCCGCATCCATGTCCATCTTCAGCAACCTCGCCATGCTCCTGACCCTCGTCGTCTATGACCGCCTCCTCACACCCGTCCTCAGGAAGCACAACATCACTTACATGCACCGCATGGGTGTCGGGCTACTCATCTCCATTGGTTCCACTGCTGCTGCCGCCATTGTTGAGGTGCAACGCAGGGCCGTGGCCGCGAGACACGGGCTCCTGGACAGCCCTCATGCTACAGTTCCCATCAGCGTCTTCTGGCTGGTCCCACAGCATGCTCTGCACGGCATGGCGGAAGCCTTCGTGGTAGTGGGGCACTTGGAATTCATGTACGACCAGGCGCCAGAGAGCATGCGAAGTATCATGACAGCATTATTCTGGACTGCAATAGCGGCCGGGAACTACCTCAGCACGTTTTTGGTCTCCATGGTTCACAAATTTTCCGGCGACAGGAACTGGATACCTGACCGGAATCTCAACCGGGGGAGACTAGACTGCTACTATTGGCTAGTCACAGGGATCCAGGTACTGAATCTTGGGTACTATGTGGTGTGTGCAAGATACTATACATTTAAGCCTATAGAGCCGGTGGTCGCTGATAAGGGACTCGCAGATTTGGAACTTGAGCAACAAGGGGAGCTCTCAAATGTTGAAAAGGGTCAACCCTACGTCTAGGTCTAGGTCACCGAGTACGACCTTTTGTGTACGTGTGCGTGTGTAAGAGCCGAGGCTTAATTGGTTAGCCCTTGATCTCACTGAATCGCCCCAAAAAAAAAAAAATGCACCCTAGGCAACGGTTATACCCGGACAACCCCACACTTGTCCAGGGTTGTGGCATCAGTGGTTAGGGCGGTTGATGTCTCAACATAATGTCTCACCTTCCGTTCCTACAATTAACATAAAATGAAAAAACCAAAAGTAATCTATGCCACACTCATTCCGTTTCATAAAACAGAGCTGGTCTTACAACTGTCTTATAAAACTTGTCCTTCGGCTTCAACATCAGCATAATATCAATCTAAAAAGACACAAATGTCTTATAAAACTTGCCCTTTAGCTTTAACGTAATATCAACCTAAAATGATACAAATGTCTTATAAAACTTGTCTTTCCGATTCAACGTAATATCAACCTTAAAAAAAAAGAAAAAAAAGATGGAGTTCTCCTCTATTTAGGTGCAAGAAGATAATGATAAAAATGTACACAGGTAAAACGAATAAACTCTTGTACTTATCTCTTGATAGGAAGCCCATCTATTATCTTAACCTCTCTTATTTGGCGGCACTGTGAGGTCCCAGGGCATTGACATAAGGTGTGTTTAGAGAGAGAAAGCAAGGCATTGCGGTGGAACAAGAGAGAGAAGTTGCATAATAGCATGAATGTTTTCGTTGGGTTGTTTCTTATGTTAATAATTCAAACAAATAATTTCTCTCTTTAGATTTGGTGTGCCCGTAGGCTCATGATTTCTGGTGTGGGTTCTGGGTATGGACAGGGTACTCTTTGTGCATTTAAATTTCCTCCGTGACTCAACAAAAGCTTATTCTCCAAAACTTTCATTATCAAACAAAATTAAGAAATACACTAAATATTTATCTTGCTTATTTCAAATGATCAAGTCGAGTAAACCCCGTGTTCCGAAAATGGAACTGGCCAAGGGTCAGGTCCGAGTAACTGGTAAAATGGCTGGCGGGATCGGCCTAATTGGGTATGTCCCGACCAATTCAAAAAGTATTAAAAAAAATTAAAAATACATAAAACCCAAAAATATATAAAAAATATATTTAAAGTTTGATCAAACAAAGAAAAATTGTTTTATACGGGCTGGACCGCATTTCTACAAATGTGGTCCAGCAAATGCACTTTAGAAGCATAAAGCATCCATCTTCAATATAGATGCAAATATGTGGTCCATCTAAAAATAATTGAAACCAACGGTCCTCTTAATAGAATTATTATTTCTAATTTTTATAAGTTATTTATTTATTTTCGTATTCATGATCTCTATGTTAGATATTACATATCCTTAACAATTAAGTCCAAAATGTGAAGAGTCTCACGTTTTTCTGAAGAGACTTAGCGTCCATTCAAAAATATGAATATACAGACTTGTCTTTTATAGATAAATTACATATAAGAAAAAATAGAAACTAAATCACAGAGACCTAAATCATACCAGGCTTATTATAAAATACAGATAATGTACCTACCCTTCTCACATATACTGATTGCAATATATACTTTCCATGTCAACCTATTACACAATATACACTTTTCTTTCACACTAATTGCATAAACAAGCAGTTGGATCTTAGGTGCATGTTCTAATTGATTGCGTGATCAACAAGCACAGAAATCAACAGCGGATCAAGAACAACAACAATAAAAGAAAAAGAAGAAAATGCATTGTCTATAGTAACATGCAAACCAATCAAGAACAACAACAATAATAAAGGAACATGAAAAGTCCAAAGTAGCTCCATACATTTGAGATTTAGTTAACAAACCGTTTAAGACAAAATTTCAGGGCATTAGCTACAACCAAGAAACTCACAAAGACAAAGAAAGAAGAAATATTAAGGAACACAGTCTAAATCTTAAATACTTGCAAAAGACTCTAACATAAAAAGTTATTGGGTGAGTAAAAAGATTGAACATTAAGAACAATTGAAAAAATTATGCAATATAAGCTGCATTACCTTTGGATGGGTGAGTCGCAATAAAATTGATGGTTTCCCATACAGCAAAGTCGAGCCAAGATAGCAACCAAAAAGAATATGTTTATCTCGCTGATCTTTTGATAGATATAGACATATCACACCACTTCCTAAATTCTCTCTTCCCCCCTCCCCCCACCACATGGGCCGGCATAACACACACACACACACACACATATATATATATATCAAAATTAAAACCCTTTTCAAAAGTAAAACATCAAATTTATAAAATAAATAACGTCTGTATACGCTTTATAATTTTTTTTTAAAATAAAATTAAAATTTCTGAAAACTTGTGAAAACAATGGTCTTTCTCTTAAAAGTTTTAGACAACTGGCTTTGTTTTATGGAAAAAGTCTATATAAGGCTAAAACCTTAAAATGAAGAACTAAAGATGCACCTCAAAAATCATTAAAAAACGTTGTTTTAATGTTGAAAAACCCTATAAATGATCATCTTGACATCGATATATATACATATGAAAAAAATAAGATTTTTAGTCCCATAAATGGTGCATCTTGCAACACACATTATCTAGACCGTCTATTTTCAAAATTTTCTCGTGTTTATAGATCTACTTGATTTTAACCACTTTTGAAGTTTAAAATTTTATAATTCGATGTAAAAATATATTTTTAGATAATCCTAAGAAGTTTTTATACTGAAATGATAGGTTAGGATAAGATTTGGAGGTACGCATTAATTAGATTCTTTAAGGTTGCAACCTTATAGAAACCACACCCTTATTTTATTTTGGTAATTTTAATTTTTTCCCAAAATAAGTAATATGTGTGTACTTATGTTGCTTAAAATTATTTATGAGAAGGATTATCATATTCATAAATATTGAAAGATAGCATAATAGGTTTTTTTAATATTTTCACTTTTTAGTTTGAGAAATTTTTTGCTTAAAAAAAGATTCCAATGTATTTTGACTTGTTATTACAATTTACAAAGGATAAAAAAATATTTATGTTGTTTGAATCAAAAAATAAGAAATTAACTTTGTTTCCCTTTATAAATTGTCAAGATTTTATAATTATAGATTTGTATGCCTCAAATTTGGTTTATTGATAATTTTTATTTTCAAAACTATAATTTTAATGTTTTAACAAATTTAATTTCCATTCCTTCATTTACAATATCTTTAAGCTCTCTATCCATGTAATAATTTTGAAAAGGAAAAATAATTTTAAAATATTAAGTGGTTTTAATTTTTTGAATTTAGTACTGCAAAATTTCATTGATGTCTCATTCTATTATTGTTTGAAGAAAATTATGCTAAAAATAAGGAAAAATTACGTATATATCCGTTATTACCAAATAGCTTTCGTTATTACTGGAATGTCTGTTTTTCACTTCATAACAAAAATTTTTAAAAAAGAGTTTTTTACACTTTTTCAGTTTTGAACAACCGAAATGGCTGGATTTTCAGTTATTCAAAAACCGAAAATAAGCTAATTTCGGTTATTGAACAATTGAAAATAGTAGGGCTTGTTTAAGCTTCTGGAATACGCAGTAAATAAGAATGCAAAATCCACGCTTCTGTCCTATTTCGGTTGTTCGAAAATAGGACATTTTCTAATGTTGAACAACTAAAAATAGGACTGCATATTTCAGCAAGCTTCTAAAATACGCAGTCCTATTTTTGGTTGTTCAACAACTGAAAACAAGACATTTTCAATTGTTCAACAACCGAAAATAAAAATGTAAATTCCAAGCTTTTGCCTATTTTCGATTTTTCAAAAACCAAAAAAAGGGTAAAAAGTCTTTTTTTTAAAAAAAAATTGTTATGAAGTGAAAAAAACAGATATTCTAGTAATAACGGAAACTATTTGGTATTTTGGTAATAATGGAAACTATAATGGATATATACGTAATTTTCCCTAAAAATAAAGTTACTTTCCAACAACAACATCATGTTTTAAAATAACTTATGAATAATTTTTTATTTTCTTTTAGAACTTTTTAAATCCTTCGTAAAATTTATGTGGACATTTTTTTAAAAAAATAGGGAATAAAGAAACATATTTTGCTCCTTTGCCTTCTACTACTTAAATAACTTTTTATTTACTATCACTTCTTTGTGTCTATGAAAATTAATCTCTAGATTTCTAAAATAATAGAAATTTTCAATCTAATGTTTAAATATACAAGCCATATTTGAATAAATTAGCAAAGTTATATTTTCACAAAATCTAATACGCTTATATTACAAACAAGGGTGTGGTTTTTATAAGGTTGCAACCTTAAACAATCCAATTAAGTTGCAACTCCAACTTTTATCATAACATGTAATTTTCATGTAAAAAGTTCTTAAGATTATCTCAAAATCAATTTTCATATCAAATTATAAAATTTTAAACTCAAAAAATAGTTAAAATCAAGTAGATCGATAAATATATAAAAATCTTGAAAATGGACGGTCTAGATAATGGGTTGCAAGATGCACTATTTATGTGACTCAAAGTCTTGTCTTTTTTCATATTGATACATCTTGATGTTGAGATGATTAAATAGAGGGTTTTTCAACAATAAAACAACCTTTTTGGATGGATTTTTTAGGTGCATCTTTATTTCTACATTTTAAGGTTGCAACCTTTAAGTATAAAGTTTTACTCCGTCACTCACTCAAAAATTTGAAATTCAAAATTTTAAAGTATTACAAATAAAAATATGTTGTAACCACTCAAAATTAGAAAACCAAATTTGGATCTCTTATATTTGTAAAATTTGAATTTTTTGGTGCTTGAAACTTCATTTTTGATAAATTTTCCTTTTTAAAAGCTTTAAAAATATAAAAGTTGAGTTTATTTTTTAGCAAATTTTCCATGTTTTAAAAATTGTTCATATTCCAAATTTTTAACAGGCTTCTAATTTCTCACAACTATGATATTTTGCATATTTGTTTTCAACATAAAAATAGTGAAATTATAAGTTCCACCTAGATAATTTTTAAAGGAAAAAGTTTATATAAGGATGCAACCTCAAAAATCCATCGGAAAAGGTAGTTTTAATGTCGAGAAAGCCTTTGATTGATCATCTCGACATCGAGATGTATGACTATGAAAAATAAAATGATTTTAAGCCTCAGAAATAGTGTGTTTTACAACATATTATCTACACCGTCCATTTTTAAGATTTTCATATGTTTATAGATCTACTTGATTTTGACCATTTTTTAAATTGAAAATTGTATAATTAGCTATAAAATAGATTTTAAGATAGTCCTAAGAACATTTTACATCAAAATTATATACATGATAAAATTTGAAGGTTCACCTTACCTCTACACCGACATATGCATCTTAATGCCAACTGCACCTATTTTGAAATGGCCATCATTCTTTTGATCAAATTTCAAATAGCCTATAAAAAATGACACATCGAGTTGAAATTTATAAAAATAAAACTAGAGCTAAATGTCAAATGGTACAAATGGTAGGTGTATTTTGTAAATTTTTTCTATACTTATATTATTGATTTCTTTTTTCTTTGATTTTTTTTTATGTTTAATCTATCTCTGTTTAAATCTATATTCGAAATATATCATTGGTTTCTTCTTTTAATGTTTTTGTTATTTCTTCTGCATCTCATTACAATTGTGCAATGCATGTAAATATGCTATTAATAACCAAGGAAAATTGGTTCATGCATATTGGACCACATTTCTACATATGTGGTTCGGAAAGTGTTGAGCATCCATATTAAAGATAGATGCAAATAGGTATTCCATCTAAAACAATAGAAACTAACTGTCCAACTATTTTCTTATTAGAATTATTGTTTCTAGTTTTTAAAATTTATTTATTTTTTCATATTCATGATCTCCATGTTAGAGATTAGATGTCCTTAAAAAGTAAGTCCTAAAATCCATCTCAAAAATAGATTTATTAAAAAGCCCGCATTTATACATATGCGAGCTTAGCGGCATAGAAATTGGGTCCATAAACCAATACCTAATGAGTACTTTTTTTTATAGAGAGAGATAGGTAGCTAAAGGAGGTATGTCTAGCCACTAAACCTTTTCCAACTCGCTACTTTACATGCCATAAAATTATGCTTTATATCGAAGTGTAGGTAGCGACGATAATCTAGATTTAGTCTAAAGGCCAATATCTTTTTTTTTTCGTTTTTTTTACGATAATCTAGATATTAGTCTGGTGACCAATATATATATATATATATATAGGCAATTCAGTGGGGAAGACAGACTCATACCCATATTTTCAAATAATTAGTGGTTTTTTGAAGCCATCAATGGGATTGGAAGGCATAATAAGTAACTTATTGAAGATGTTCCAAATATTTTTATTTTTGTGAAATATTTTTAAATACCCATGTGATGTAAATAGTAATTTATTGGGAATGTTCCAAATATTTTGTTTTTTTAAATATTCTTAAATCCCCATGTGGCAAGTATTATAGAAATATAAGGATGAAATAAAAAAATTTAAAATAAAAATTTATAAAATGTTTCAAATATTTATTTTTCTGGAAATTTTAGGAAAACATAAAAAAATTAAAATAAAGTTTATAAATTTTGGATCCATTTAGAAATAGAGTTTGGATCCCAAATTTTGGGATTTGTTAATCTAAATTATGATTATGAATCTGTACTTTTTTCCTTTGAAAAATAAAAATATATATTTGTAATATATTTCTCCTCCATCCATGTTGAAGTATAATGGAAGCACCATATTTTTCACGTTCATATCTCAGATGGACATCCAATGCATCAGGGGATACACATGCTTTCCTGAGTCGGCTGACTCACCAAGACCGTGCCCGGATAAAAAACCACGTTGTTTTTGCATATTTTTATGGCATTTGAAGCACCTTACTTTTTGTTTTTGTTTTTTTGGATCAATAAACAATTGGCTCTTTTTTTTTTTTTGGTAATTCATTTGGGATGACAAGCCCCTACCCATATTTTGAAATCATTAAAAAACATTAATAATTTTTCCTAGACCTTAGATGGAGCACAAGTGGTGCTACCACCGCGACCCAACCCCATTGTTGATAAGTACTTGCCCTTAGATAGGACATGGTGCACATTCGGTTGGTAAAGTCGGACTGGGATTAATCAGGCATTGCATTGTAATTCAAATTATGGGACTGTTGGTGCCATTCTCACTTTGTAACTTCTTTAACTAAGGCAGCAAATCCTTTTAACTTGAGAATACAATGATGAGGTTGTTTGTGCGAGACAATAGGGATTATTTGTGCATAGAGAAAGTGCAAGGGCTTTTAACTTAGGGAAAGCTTTCTATACGCCTGACAATTTATACATGCCACCCCTCTCCTATCGGTTCGATTTGAATAGAAAGCTGAGCTGGCCCCAATCACATTGTTATACCTAAATATTATTTTGACACCACATT